GCGAAAACGGGATCCACCCCTTTATTCCATCACTACCAATACACGTTGATTTGGATGCCATTGCGAGAACCTGGGTCACACGGACAGAGCGGAAATGGAAAACAAACAGAAAAGCCAACACACCACAAGCATACCCACAGCACAATCTCACACATCAATGACGACCTCCGCCTTCCAGTTAAAGGTATCCTCTTGACATCTTCCAACACAATCGCCACTTACTAGAATGACTCTTGCAGAAAGTGACGTGACCATAGCACCACCTCATGATACTCCACGCACATCCTCTCATCTACTCACCACCAATTACCACTGCAATCGCTTGTCACTCATTCTGCCTCAGTTCTAGTAACGGTGACGTACGCAAGCCTCAGCTGTCTACACTCCCACTCCCCGGCGTGTGGGATCACAGCTAATCATTATCTCCGTATGCATATCATTCTCAGGAATAGCCTCCCCGGCGTATACGACCCATCTGCTGTCTCTAACATCAATCAATTCATTCACGAATGTAGAAGACTCGAAACAACTTCAGAAGTAATCACGACGAAAATTTTAACAAAATTATGCAATAACAACAAGGTACGAAAACAACGAGTAAACACAATTAACCCAATATCACAAATTGATATGACACACCACACGTATACACAAACAGTGCACACAAACTCGCGGATCATGTCTTGATGGAATTCCTTTGAAGAATCGCAGGACTTACACCAGTACGCCTACAACCCTTCACAGGTTGACGATTGTAAGTTGTGGAATGTCCGGACACAAACAAGATTAACCAACAATTACAATAATTGGAACTCACACAACTATTTAACCCAAACATATGTACAATCAACACGTCAAATGTTGTGGATTCTGCCTTGACGAACTACCCTTAAAGAACTGTAGGACTTACAGCAGTACGCCTACATTCCTTCTCAGGTTGATGATCCAAGTGGAAGTCGTCCGGACACAAACAGAATTACCAACAGCTAGATGACAGATGATATCAATTCAGTATATACAATATGAACATATGTACAAAATCACACACCAAACACATTGGACTGCTCATTGATGCGCTACCCTTTGAAGAATTGTAGGACTTACAGCAGTACGCCTACAACCCTTCTCAGGTTGACGCCCTAGGTTGGAAAATCGTCGAAGAGTTCATTTGCTGACTTCCCTCTATCGGCTATATCCTCAAATCTGAACGGCAACACGCTCATATCATTGTATCGTAGAATATAGATGACGGACAAACACACGACGTATCTGGTCAACCAAGCGTAGAAACAGAGTAATTTACACCAAAGATAATAGCATTCAAATAGTAACTTGAAACTAGAAATGCCTTTATTCATGCAAGTCAATTTAACAATTACTCTCTCGTTTACCCTTGGCTTATCCTCACTAAACTGACCAATATCTTTCGTCTCTTCATATGCACCAATACTATCATGGTCATTGCACAAGATACTTGAGTTGATGGGCGTCTGTTTCATTGTGGATGACAACACCAACGACGACGACTGATTGATACCAGTTGATGAACTTAGCGGTGGATCAGAAGCTGTTCTTGTTCGGCTTTGAGAAATTTATCTAACTGCAAGATTACCACCACTGCTGTCTTTCATTACTAGTTCGGGTTTAGCACTAGCATCTGATGATAGGTGGGCTACACGCTGATCAATTACACTGACGGTCTCACAAGTATCCGTACCTTCTGCAACTACATCTGCATTCAATTCTACTTCACGTTGTAGTTGTACAGAACCTTTATTCAAATTAGCAGTAGTAGGCATTCCCCTCATTTCATCATGATCAACCAAAGACAAATCTGCACTATCATGATCATTATCACAAATATTCAATTTACCATCATCTATCTGGTCGACTTCATCATTTTCAAACTCTTCAATAACAGAAGTAGATGATTTGGGTTCTTCCTCACAAATCCCTAAAGAATTTATACCTTCACTCTGACTAGTAATACCTTGTAAACTTGTAGGGTCAGAACTGGACTCTGAAACTGTAACTCTCTTCTCTGGCATACTATTCAACAATGGCTTACCAGTTGCAACTACAGACTTCCTGACCAAACCGTTATCGTCACACAATTCGGAGTCAGACCTTGATTTCACATTTAGCTTACCGCTAAACTTGCTCACTGGTTCACAGCTCACCTTTGTATGCACCTCTTGCAAACGTGTAAAACACAACCGTGCTTGTCTTGCATCTTGTAACTTATCTGTTGAGGATGTACTACGAAACCTGTTACACTCACTAGGTCTATATGCATTACTAGACATCATGGAGCCTTCTCGATATCCACCTCTCTGAGGCCTACTCGTCATCAATGATTGCATTTTGCTCGCAGACTGCTCTATTCTAGGGGTGAGATTCAATATACTGGCAAACTTGCTCATAGATTGATTGACACTATCGTTTACCAGTTTCAGGATATCATCAAACTTTGGCTCGATACCCTCATCCTCCATACGGGAGCTCATCTTCACCCACTTCCTTTGCAGTCGAGTAGGTAGGCGTCTTGCTATTACTTCTAGTATAAAACTCGAGTTGAGGTCACTCATGCAATTCATAGAAATCAATGCATTCTTGTAATTCAGCAAATTATCCGAAAACTCAGCAAGTTCCTGGGAGTCATTTTGTATTTGACCACCATTACCCTTAAAAGCCTCGAATAATTTCCCTGCAATCATCGAAGGTCTTCCAAACCTTTGACGTAATATGCTCATAGCCTCGTAGTAACCCTCTTTTGGCTTCATAAACTTACAGCACTGTATAGCTCTTGCAGCAATTCCAGTGCAATACCTCATCAAATACATTAACCTCATTTCATCATTTAATAAATACCACTCAACATGATTTGAAATTCCCTTACAAACTGTAAATAATCAGCCAGGTTTCCGTCGAAACACCGCGGTTCAAATTTAGGGAGTTTGATGTTCCTATTATCCCTGAACGGCGAAACAGTAACACCAACCGTGTCATGCTTAACATCAGACACATCGTTACAATTAACAGACAAGTCCAATGACTTACTTTCCTGTTTGCATACAAGACGCTCTGTCCCTTCTTTGACCCAGGCACTTCTGAACTTGACCCAATTCCAAAAACGTTCCAGATATTGCTTGTTCAAAGAGGACTCGACCGGCACCGCGAAAGATGAACGGTGACTATCCAAACTGTCACCGACAGTCTGAATCCGCCACAATCTGTTTCTACTGTCAGAAACTGTCAGCCACGTCTCGTAAACCGTTAATGCCCAGCTCTTGCTACGCTCGGGCTCACGCTGTTCCTTGAAGTTTCTCAGAAACGCTTAGTAATAACGGACGCAAAAACCAAAACACCGATTGGCCACTCGAGAATTCTTTATTGCAACACCAACATATAAAAAATGTTTCCACTAAGGTCTGTGAACAAATATTACAATAATAAATCACAATATTACTTCTGACGGTTTTATACTGACTTCTTTCTGAACAGCGACCGATGAGACGATGACTGGCTGATTGGTGCCTCCACGAAAATTGGGGAAGTTGGTTTTGAGCAAACAACCATGAATTGATCGTTCAATCTTCAACTACATTGACAGATGTGTATGATGCTCAACATGATAATATTGATGTTCATGTTTAGCGGTCTATTGATAGTAGGGGGTTTAAACTTCCAAAATTGGAGCCTTGTTATTTTGACGGAAACCCAGCTGACTATCCACAGTTTGTGAAGGATTTTGAAGTCATTTTGAGTGGTTTTTTAATAAATGACGAAATGAAGTTGTTGTATTTATTGAGGTATTGCACTCATGTTGCTGCAAGAGCTATACAGTGCTGCAAGTTTATGCCCCTAGACAAAGGATACACTGAGGCCATGAGAATATAGCATCAAAGGTTTCGGAGGCTATTTATGATATCCAGGAGTGTTTCTGATACTGTTAAGAGTAATGGTGCGCAGTTAAACAACTGCTCCGAGGAACGTGCAGAGTTCTTGGATAGTTTAATGGTGTATAGAAATACTCTCGTTTCTCTTAATTGTGTCGATGAATTGGACTGCAGCTCTGTGCCTGAGGCGATCGCTAAGAGATTGCCCGTTCACTTACGAACAAAGCTCATAAAAATCAGCTCCCGTTCAGAAGAGGAATGTTTGGAGCCAGGGTTCGATGTTATACTGAGATTAGTGACAGATAATGTTAATTAGACTATGAGTAAACTCACGAGCATATTGCATCCGGCTTCTGAAATTGAGAGGTTCTCAAAGCATTGGACGTTCAGGAAATTTTGTTATCTGTAACAACGTAAACATGCTTAGTGAGTGTGCTCGTTTCCTTCAAATATCTCCGACAGAACGGTTACAAGTTATGGAAAGGAAACGGTTATGATTCTGCTGTTTAAAGGACGGGTACACAAGGCTTAACTGTGAGACATCTGAGAATGGTGGTAGTGGTTCATTAGGATTAAATCCGCTGTTGACAGTATCGAAGAATCAGGGTAATTCTACTAATTGTAATAGCAGCCTTGCACCGCACGACTTTCAGAAGGTATATTTAGGTGTTGCGCCAGTAAGAGTAAGGGGGCCAAGGTTATGTGTCAATATATATGTGTTGCTACATAATGGTTCTGACAATACATTGATAGATGCTAAGCTGGCTGGGAGCCTGGTTGTTAAGGGCCCAAAACAATCCCTGGTCCTAAATAGTTTCATTTCTTCGAAAACGTTAGTATAATAATGATATTTACTCACATAAATTAAGAATTTGCATGACTGACATACCGTTTGTATAGGCATGAACATTTTTGACAAGTGTAATTTGAAATAGGGCACTGTGTTTTTGACGTTAAAAATTGGAAAAATGGAAAAAAACTCAAGGAACCTTAATAATAATACTTTGATTTCTGGAACAGAAACCAGCCATTTTTACAGACATGAACATATGTACACTAATTGGAACATATAGAATATATAATGTGATTTGTTAATCTAGATATAGATTGAATACTGGTAAATGTGAGACAAACATCTAAAAAGAAATGTACCAGTAAGGAAATAGGTAATTTTTGAGATCAGCTTTCGACCGAATAAGTCATAAGATATAAATCAAATATAAACCGTAATTGAAAAAATACGGCCTACCAATTTCACGCGGGAATTATAAATGATTGCGTTAATTGTAGAAGGTAAGTAGCATTTATATACAGGTGCCGACGTGATACATAAGAGATGCAGAATGAACAGTAATTATAAGTAAATGATTCATAAAGTGTATGAAGGTCTATGAGACTTCAAATTCACCGGTAAGTACACCATATTTGTGACATTTCCAGTTGTATATACAACATATTGAGCCATGTTTAATGCACTTTATACAGTCGAGGGAATACATTTGTCATGATTTGTGTATACGAATAAATGATAATTGTTCACTTATGACAAGCCCACGCTTTAAAAGTCCAAAAGTATTTGAACTTAAATGGATTAACTACAACAAATGAAAACATATACTTATCATGACTGAAATACAAAGAAACGTGAAACACAAAAATTCAAAACGAATTAAAGGGGGGAGGGGATGAAAAATGAAAACCCTTAGATGAAAAAGGATACTTGTCATAAGTGAAGTGTAAATTTTTTCCATTACTGAGCACAATTTACGAGGTTATGTACTTAAACCTTGGGAATCCAAACGAAACAAGGTGGGGGTGATTGTGTTGATTCATAGACGAAAACATATACTTCCCATAAGGAAAATGTTAACAGTTGTGATAACAGTTCACTCGTTATCCCTTTTCATATTAAAAGTGTGGATGTTTGCATAGAGGTATATAAGCTGCACGCCGTACATACAGAGATCATTCTTACAGGATTTATGAATCATGCAGGTGAGTTAGATTTTGGGTGTATATTTGTCCAATTCTCTTATAAGGAAAACAACTCCGATAATGTGTTAAATACGGTATTCAACATTCTACAACAAGTCGTAGGAGAAGAATATCTTCTGGCAGACTGCATGAATGCCTTGGATACAGCTACTCAACATTTTATAGCCGTCAAAAACGGTTATGTGATGCAGCATTTAGTGACTGGGACTTGTGTAAACGTTACTGCTCATCTAGAGAAGAGGTGGCAAGGGATAATACAGTAACTTTGCCTTCAAGTTCAACTGTCCAGGGAACAGTGGGTTTACCTAGTACTAGTGAGACCGTCGCTGTTGTTTCACAAATTGAAGAGAATCGTAACATTTATTAATATGTAATAATTAATTTCAATAGAACTTCAGGTTGTTCCTAAAAAGATGACACAAGGAGAGCTGGTCAGAAAGTCAATTATGGAATTGTTCCTTCAGAACAATGTAACAGGGGCGCTTGCGCAAAATATCTTGGACTGTATTCGTAAATTTAATCCACATGTGCCAACAACCATAAGAGGCTTGCTAAAAGATAGTGGCATGTGTGTACCTAGATTTCTTGGACAAGGTGTTTACTATCACATTGGACTGAAGGAAAACCTGCAGCGTTATCTAGATAGTTGGGTTGACTACGGTACTTTTCAACATATTGGCTTGCAAATCAACTATGACGGTTTATCTATATCAAACAGTTCTTCGCAGCAATTATGGCCATTCCTAGGTCGTATCACAACTCCATACGTCAGTGACGTTTTTTTAATTGGCATACATGGCGGTTTGAGAAAACCGAGCAACTTCAATGAGGTTGCTATGGACCTATTAGCTGAATTGAAAGATCTTTATAAATACGGTTTATATGTTGAGAAGTGGGGTAGGAGTGTGACTGTCAGTGTTCTAGCATTTATATGTGACACGCCTGCTCGTTCTAATGTAAAACAAACCGTCGGTCACAATGGAAAAACAGGTTGTGATAAATGTGAAGTTATAGGTTGTTTGGAGGGTAGGATGACATTTCCTAATGGGAACCATACACTTAGAAATGATAGGACATTCCGTGGTCAAGTTCAAGCAAGTCACCATCGGGGCAGAAGCTGTCTTGAGGAATTGCCACTTGATATGGTAAAATCGTTTCCCTTGGAGCCAATGCATCTAATATACCTTGGTGTTGTTAAGAAGTTAGTGTTCCTTTGGCAGGGTCTTGCAGCACGGCGAGAGAAGCAAATGCATAGTAAGATTATCGCAGATATTAATAACGGACTGCAAGTAAGTAGGAAACACATTCCTTGCGATTTTCAGAGGAAATGTCGGTCGTTAGATGACGTTAGCCAATGGAAAGCAACTAAGTGTAGACTTTTCTTACTATATTTGGGTCCCGTCCTACTTAGAAACACTCTACCATGCCACCTGTACGCTAATTTCAGGAGATTATCCCTGGCAGTATACTTACTGTCGAGTACCAAATACAGCCGACTGTTTTTGGATGCTGCTCGGACAGATTTGAGTAATTTCTTACTGCAATATGAGAATTGTTTCGGAAATGAACAAATTGTTTACAATATACATTCTCTGAAACATATAGCGGATGACGTCGAGCTGCATGGGCCATTGGAAGAATTCAGCGCATTTCCCTTCGAATCCTATATGCGCAAGATAAGACAGTCCGTGCACTGTGGTTATGCTGTGGCTAAGCAGGCAGCTCAGCGCTATGTTGAACACGTGTACTTAATGAAAAGTACAGGCGTGAAGCACGTACCTAAAGAAGCTGGTACTAAGTGTGTTGAATTTTGCAAAGGAAAGCTGATGTATCTGCATACCATATTCACATCTTATTCTCCGGATAATGTCATCTTAGCCTAAGGTAAACCAGGGAATAAAGTTGAAATCGAAAGTGAAGAAAGAATACGTTATCGACCCTATAGCGATTATAGTGATGATATCACTACACCTTAAGGACAAAAAATTTAGGGATATATAGATGTTAAAAATCGGTGACGAAAAACACAGGATATCCTAAGTGAATATTGTCCGTAAGTGCATGATTCTTCCAACAACTAACGAAGAAGTAGTTATCGCTGTCAATGTAGCTGAAGATTGAACGATCAATTCATGGTTGTTTGCTCAAAACCAACTTCCCCAATTTTCGCGGAGGCACCAATCAGCCAGTCATCGTCTCATCGGTCGCTGTTCAGAAAGAAGTCAGTATAAAACCGTCAGAAGTAATATTGTGATTTATTATTGTAATATTTGTTCACAGACCTTAGTGGAAACATTTTTTATATGTTGGTGTTGCAATAAAGAATTCTCGAGTGGCCAATCGGTGTTTTGGTTTTTGCGTCCGTTATTACTAAGCGTTTCTGAGAAACTTCAAGGAACAGCGTGAGCCCGAGCGTAGCAAGAGCTGGGCATTAACGGTTTACGAGACGTGGCTGACAGTTTCTGACAGTAGAAACAGATTGTGGCGGATTCAGACTGTCGGTGACAGTTTGGATAGTCACCGTTCATCTTAATTGTGTTTACTCGTTGTTTTCGTACCTTGTTGTTATTGCATAATTTTGTTAAAATTTTCGTCGTGATTACTTCTGAAGTTGTTTCGAGTCTTCTACATTCGTGAATGAATTGATTGATGTTAGAGACAGCAGATGGGTCGTATACGCCGGGGAGGCTATTCCTGAGAATGATATGCATACGGAGATAATGATTAGCTGTGATCCCACACGCCGGGGAGCGGGAGTGTAGACAGCTGAGGCTTGCGTACGTCACCGTTACTAGAACTGAGGCAGAATGAGTGACAAGCGATTGCAGTGGTAATTGGTGGTGAGTAGATGAGAGGATGTGCGTGGAGTATCATGAGGTGGTGCTATGGTCACGTCACTTTCTGCAAGAGTCATTCTAGTAAGTGGCGATTGTGTTGGAAGATGTCAAGAGGATACCTTTAACTGGAAGGCGGAGGTCGTCATTGATGTGTGAGATTGTGCTGTGGGTATGCTTGTGGTGTGTTGGCTTTTCTGTTTGTTTTCCATTTCCGCTCTGTCCGTGTGACCCAGGTTCTCGCAATGGCATCCAAATCAACGTGTATTGGTAGTGATGGAATAAAGGGGTGGATCCCGTTTTCGCCGGGGAGTGTCAATGTAGTTGAAGACTGAACGATCAATTCATGGTTGTTTGCTCAAAACCAACTTCCCCAATTTTCGCGGAGGCACCAATCAGCCAGTCATCGTCTCATCGGTCGCTGTTCAGAAAGAAGTCAGTATAAAACCGTCAGAAGTAATATTGTGATTTATTATTGTAATATTTGTTCACAGACCTTAGTGGAAACATTTTTTATATGTTGGTGTTGCAATAAAGAATTCTCGAGTGGCCAATCGGTGTTTTGGTTTTTGCGTCCGTTATTACTAAGCGTTTCTGAGAAACTTCAAGGAACAGCGTGAGCCCGAGCGTAGCAAGAGCTGGGCATTAACGGTTTACGAGACGTGGCTGACAGTTTCTGACAGTAGAAACAGATTGTGGCGGATTCAGACTGTCGGTGACAGTTTGGATAGTCACCGTTCATCTTAATTGTGTTTACTCGTTGTTTTCGTACCTTGTTGTTATTGCATAATTTTGTTAAAATTTTCGTCGTGATTACTTCTGAAGTTGTTTCGAGTCTTCTACATTCGTGAATGAATTGATTGATGTTAGAGACAGCAGATGGGTCGTATACGCCGGGGAGGCTATTCCTGAGAATGATATGCATACGGAGATAATGATTAGCTGTGATCCCACACGCCGGGGAGCGGGAGTGCAGACAGCTGAGGCTTGCGTACGTCACCGTTACTAGAACTGAGGCAGAATGAGTGACAAGCGATTGCAGTGGTAATTGGTGGTGAGTAGATGAGAGGATGTGCGTGGAGTATCATGAGGTGGTGCTATGGTCACGTCACTTTCTGCAAGAGTCATTCTAGTAAGTGGCGATTGTGTTGGAAGATGTCAAGAGGATACCTTTAACTGGAAGGCGGAGGTCGTCATTGATGTGTGAGATTGTGCTGTGGGTATGCTTGTGGTGTGTTGGCTTTTCTGTTTGTTTTCCATTTCCGCTCTGTCCGTGTGACCCAGGTTCTCGCAATGGCATCCAAATCAACGTGTATTGGTAGTGATGGAATAAAGGGGTGGATCCCGTTTTCGCCGGGGAGTGTCAATGTAGTTGAAGACTGAACGATCAATTCATGGTTGTTTGCTCAAAACCAACTTCCCCAATTTTCGCGGAGGCACCAATCAGCCAGTCATCGTCTCATCGGTCGCTGTTCAGAAAGAAGTCAGTATAAAACCGTCAGAAGTAATATTGTGATTTATTATCGTAATATTTGTTCACAGACCTTAGTGGAAACATTTTTTATATGTTGGTGTTGCAATAAAGAATTCTCGAGTGGCCAATCGGTGTTTTGGTTTTTGCGTCCGTTATTACTAAGCGTTTCTGAGAAACTTCAAGGAACAGCGTGAGCCCGAGCGTAGCAAGAGCTGGGCATTAACGGTTTAGGAGGCGTGGCTGACAATCTCCCTGCTTCATACTTTTAATTGAAATACTATTCCGTATTATTTGGCTTGAACTTTTGATATGTAATTCGTCTAAGTTTTTTTTGCAACGTCTATTTTTTCTCAAATCCGAAAATCTACCTCTAATTGGCTAATGTTTTTGGTGAAACTAAAGTTCATTTGACAGATTTTTCCGCGTTTTTGAGATGTAGGTATATCCATGCCGTTATTGATTTTAAGCAACCTGATACATGATAAAGTAACAGCCGTATTTACACCTTATTACATATCCTTTTGCAGAATTCTACACCAATCAGATACCTCGTCATCCGTTCGCTGGAAGATGACACTGTTGTTGCTATCCCAAACATGTGGGTTACGCGAAGTGGTTTATATGCGTACAGCAGCACAGCAAACCATCTAGAACCTATGTTTACCGGGGCTGGATGGTCAGTATTTCAATTCCGTCAACTGCAGGAATTTGGTAAGTTGGCATATTTCATTATCACCCTTCTAAATACGTATTAGAACTGTAAAAAGGATGTCAATGCAGTTGAAGACTGAACGATCAATTCATGGTTGTTTGCTCAAAACCAACTTCCCCAATTTTCGCGGAGGCACCAATCAGCCAGTCATCGTCTCATCGGTCGCTGTTCAGAAAGAAGTCAGTATAAAACCGTCAGAAGTAATATTGTGATTTATTATTGTAATATTTGTTCACAGACCTTAGTGGAAACATTTTTTATATGTTGGTGTTGCAATAAAGAATTCTCGAGTGGCCAATCGGTGTTTTGGTTTTTGCGTCCGTTATTACTAAGCGTTTCTGAGAAACTTCAAGGAACAGCGTGAGCCCGAGCGTAGCAAGAGCTGGGCATTAACGGTTTAGGAGGCGTGGCTGACAATCTCCCTGCTTCATACTTTTAATTGAAATACTATTCCGTATTATTTGGCTTGAACTTTTGATATGTAATTCGTCTAAGTTTTTTTTGCAACGTCTATTTTTTCTCAAATCCGAAAATCTACCTCTAATTGGCTAATGTTGTTGGTGAAACTAAAGTTCATTTGACAGATTTTTCCGCGTTTTTGAGATATAGGTATATCCATGCCGTTATTGATTTTAAGCAACCTGATACATGATAAAGTAACAGCCGTATTTACACCTTATTACATATCCTTTTGCAGAATTCTACACCAATCAGATACCTCGTCATCCGTTCGCTGGAAGATGACACTGTTGTTGCTATCCCAAACATGTGGGTTACGCGAAGTGGTTTATATGCGTACAGCAGCACAGCAAACCATCTAGAACCTATGTTTACCGGGGCTGGATGGTCAGTATTTCAATTCCGTCAACTGCAGGAATTTGGTAAGTTGGCATATTTCATTATCACCCTTCTAAATACGTATTAGAACTGTAAAAAGGATGTCAATGCAGTTGAAGACTGAACGATCAATTCATGGTTGTTTGCTCAAAACCAACTTCCCCAATTTTCGCGGAGGCACCAATCAGCCAGTCATCGTCTCATCGGTCGCTGTTCAGAAAGAAGTCAGTATAAAACCGTCAGAAGTAATATTGTGATTTATTATTGTAATATTTGTTCACAGACCTTAGTGGAAACATTTTTTATATGTTGGTGTTGCAATAAAGAATTCTCGAGTGGCCAATCGGTGTTTTGGTTTTTGCGTCCGTTATTACTAAGCGTTTCTGAGAAACTTCAAGGAACAGCGTGAGCCCGAGCGTAGCAAGAGCTGGGCATTAACGGTTTAGGAGGCGTGGCTGACAATCTCCCTGCTTCATACTTTTAATTGAAATACTATTCCGTATTATTTGGCTTGAACTTTTGATATGTAATTCGTCTAAGTTTTTTTTGCAACGTCTATTTTTTCTCAAATCCGAAAATCTACCTCTAATTGGCTAATGTTGTTGGTGAAACTAAAGTTCATTTGACAGATTTTTCCGCGTTTTTGAGATATAGGTATATCCATGCCGTTATTGATTTTAAGCAACCTGATACATGATAAAGTAACAGCCGTATTTACACCTTATTACATATCCTTTTGCAGAATTCTACACCAATCAGATACCTCGTCATCCGTTCGCTGGAAGATGACACTGTTGTTGCTATCCCAAACATGTGGGTTACGCGAAGTGGTTTATATGCGTACAGCAGCACAGCAAACCATCTAGAACCTATGTTTACCGGGGCTGGATGGTCAGTATTTCAATTCCGTCAACTGCAGGAATTTGGTAAGTTGGCATATTTCATTATCACCCTTCTAAATACGTATTAGAACTGTAAAAAGGATGTCAATGCAGTTGAAGACTGAACGATCAATTCATGGTTGTTTGCTCAAAACCAACTTCCCCAATTTTCGCGGAGGCACCAATCAGCCAGTCATCGTCTCATCGGTCGCTGTTCAGAAAGAAGTCAGTATAAAACCGTCAGAAGTAATATTGTGATTTATTATTGTAATATTTGTTCACAGACCTTAGTGGAAACATTTTTTATATGTTGGTGTTGCAATAAAGAATTCTCGAGTGGCCAATCGGTGTTTTGGTTTTTGCGTCCGTTATTACTAAGCGTTTCTGAGAAACTTCAAGGAACAGCGTGAGCCCGAGCGTAGCAAGAGCTGGGCATTAACGGTTTAGGAGGCGTGGCTGACAATCTCCCTGCTTCATACTTTTAATTGAAATACTATTCCGTATTATTTGGCTTGAACTTTTGATATGTAATTCGTCTAAGTTTTTTTTGCAACGTCTATATTTTCTCAAATCCGAAAATCTACCTCTAATTGGCTAATGTTGTTGGTGAAACTAAAGTTCATTTGACAGATTTTTCCGCGTTTTTGAGATATAGGTATATCCATGCCGTTATTGATTTTAAGCAACCTGATACATGATAAAGTAACAGCCGTATTTACACCTTATTACATATCCTTTTGCAGAATTCTACACCAATCAGATACCTCGTCATCCGTTCGCTGGAAGATGACACTGTTGTTGCTATCCCAAACATGTGGGTTACGCGAAGTGGTTTATATGCGTACAGCAGCACAGCAAACCATCTAGAACCTATGTTTACCGGGGCTGGATGGTCAGTATTTCAATTCCGTCAACTGCAGGAATTTGGTAAGTTGGCATATTTCATTATCACCCTTCTAAATACGTATTAGAACTGTAAAAAGGATGTCAATGCAGTTGAAGACTGAACGATCAATTCATGGTTGTTTGCTCAAAACCAACTTCCCCAATTTTCGCGGAGGCACCAATCAGCCAGTCATCGTCTCATCGGTCGCTGTTCAGAAAGAAGTCAGTATAAAACCGTCAGAAGTAATATTGTGATTTATTATTGTAATATTTGTTCACAGACCTTAGTGGAAACATTTTTTATATGTTGGTGTTGCAATAAAGAATTCTCGAGTGGCCAATCGGTGTTTTGGTTTTTGCGTCCGTTATTACTAAGCGTTTCTGAGAAACTTCAAGGAACAGCGTGAGCCCGAGCGTAGCAAGAGCTGGGCATTAACGGTTTAGGAGGCGTGGCTGACAATCTCCCTGCTTCATACTTTTAATTGAAATACTATTCCGTATTATTTGGCTTGAACTTTTGATATGTAATTCGTCTAAGTTTTTTTTGCAACGTCTATTTTTTCTCAAATCCGAAAATCTACCTCTAATTGGCTAATGTTGTTGGTGAAACTAAAGTTCATTTGACAGATTTTTCCGCGTTTTTGAGATATAGGTATATCCATGCCGTTATTGATTTTAAGCAACCTGATACATGATAAAGTAACAGCCGTATTTACACCTTATTACATATCCTTTTGCAGAATTCTACACCAATCAGATACCTCGTCATCCGTTCGCTGGAAGATGACACTGTTGTTGCTATCCCAAACATGTGGGTTACGCGAAGTGGTTTATATGCGTACAGCAGCACAGCAAACCATCTAGAACCTATGTTTACCGGGGCTGGATGGTCAGTATTTCAATTCCGTCAACTGCAGGAATTTGGTAAGTTGGCATATTTCATTATCACCCTTCTAAATACGTATTAGAACTGTAAAAAGGATGTCAATGCAGTTGAAGACTGAACGATCAATTCATGGTTGTTTGCTCAAAACCAACTTCCCCAATTTTCGCGGAGGCACCAATCAGCCAGTCATCGTCTCATCGGTCGCTGTTCAGAAAGAAGTCAGTATAAAACCGTCAGAAGTAATATTGTGATTTATTATTGTAATATTTGTTCACAGACCTTAGTGGAAACATTTTTTATATGTTGGTGTTGCAATAAAGAATTCTCGAGTGGCCAATCGGTGTTTTGGTTTTTGCGTCCGTTATTACTAAGCGTTTCTGAGAAACTTCAAGGAACAGCGTGAGCCCGAGCGTAGCAAGAGCTGGGCATTAACGGTTTAGGAGGCGTGGCTGACAATCTCCCTGCTTCATACTTTTAATTGAAATACTATTCCGTATTATTTGGCTTGAACTTTTGATATGTAATTCGTCTAAGTTTTTTTTGCAACGTCTATATTTTCTCAAATCCGAAAATCTACCTCTAATTGGCTAATGTTGTTGGTGAAACTAAAGTTCATTTGACAGATTTTTCCGCGTTTTTGAGATATAGGTATATCCATGCCGTTATTGATTTTAAGCAACCTGATACATGATAAAGTAACAGCCGTATTTACACCTTATTACATATCCTTTTGCAGAATTCTACACCAATCAGATACCTCGTCATCCGTTCGCTGGAAGATGACACTGTTGTTGCTATCCCAAACATGTGGGTTACGCGAAGTGGTTTATATGCGTACAGCAGCACAGCAAACCATCTAGAACCTATGTTTACCGGGGCTGGATGGTCAGTATTTCAATTCCGTCAACTGCAGGAATTTGGTAAGTTGGCATATTTCATTATCACCCTTCTAAATACGTATTAGAACTGTAAAAAGGATGTCAATGCAGTTGAAGACTGAACGATCAATTCATGGTTGTTTGCTCAAAACCAACTTCCCCAATTTTCGCGGAGGCACCAATCAGCCAGTCATCGTCTCATCGGTCGCTGTTCAGAAAGAAGTCAGTATAAAACCGTCAGAAGTAATATTGTGATTTATTATTGTAATATTTGTTCACAGACCTTAGTGGAAACATTTTTTATATGTTGGTGTTGCAATAAAGAATTCTCGAGTGGCCAATCGGTGTTTTGGTTTTTGCGTCCGTTATTACTAAGCGTTTCTGAGAAACTTCAAGGAACAGCGTGAGCCCGAGCGTAGCAAGAGCTGGGCATTAACGGTTTAGGAGGCGTGGCTGACAATCTCCCTGCTTCATACTTTTAATTGAAATACTATTCCGTATTATTTGGCTTGAACTTTTGATATGTAATTCGTCTAAGTTTTTTTGCAACGTCTATTTTTTCTCAAATCCGAAAATCTACCTCTAATTGGCTAATGTTGTTGGTGAAACTAAAGTTCATTTGACAGATTTTTCCGCGTTTTTGAGATATAGGTATATCCATGCCGTTATTGATTTTAAGCAACCTGATACATGATAAAGTAACAGCCGTATTTACACCTTATTACATATCCTTTTGCAGAATTCTACACCAATCAGATACCTCGTCATCCGTTCGCTGGAAGATGACACTGTTGTTGCTATCCCAAACATGTGGGTTACGCGAAGTGGTTTATATGCGTACAGCAGCACAGCAAACCATCTAGAACCTATGTTTACCGGGGCTGGATGGTCAGTATTTCAATTCCGTCAACTGCAGGAATTTGGTAAGTTGGCATATTTCATTATCACCCTTCTAAATACGTATTAGAACTGTAAAAAGGATGTCAATGCAGTTGAAGATTGAACGATCAATTCATGGTTGTTTGCTCAAAACCAACTTCCCCAATTTTCGCGGAGGCACCAATCAGCCAGTCATCGTCTCATCGGTCGCTGTTCAGAAAGAAGAGTATAAAACCATCAGAAGTAATATTGTGATTTATTATTGTAATATTTGTTCACAGACCTTAGTGGAAACATTATTTTATATGTTGGTGTTGCAATAAAGAATTCTCGAGTGGCCAATCGGTGTTTTGGTTTTTGCGTCCGTTATTACTAAGCGTTTCTGAGAAACTTCAAGGAACAGCGTGAGCCCGAGCGTAGCAAGAGCTGGGCATTAACGGTCTACGAGACGTGGCTGACAGTTTCTGACAGTAGAAACAGATTGTGGCGGATTCAGACTGTCGGTGACAGTTTGGATAGTCACCGTTCATCTTTCGCGGTGCCGGTCGAGTCCTCTTTGAACAAGCAATATCTGGAACGTTTTTGGAATTGGGTCAAGTTCAGAAGTGCCTGGGTCAAAGAAGGGACAGAGCGTCTTGGATGCAAACAGGAAAGTAAGCCTTGGTGACTTGTCTGTTACCTTTAACGATGTGTCTGATGTTAAGCATGACACGGTTGATGTTACTGTTTCGCCGTTCAGGGATAATAGGAACATCAAACTCCCTAAATTTGAACCACGATGTTTTGATGGAAACCTGGCTGATTATTTACAATTTGTAAAGGAGTTTGAGATCATGCTGAGTAGTTTTTTATTAAATGATGAATTGAAGTTAATGTGTATGATGAGATATTTCACTGGAGATGCTGCAAGAGCTATACAGTGCTGTAAGTTTATGAAGCCAAAAGAGGGTTACTACGAGGCTATGAGCATATTACGTCAATGGTTTGGAAGACCTTCAATGATTGTAACGAACGTAAACGACGCTGTCAAACGTAACGGCAGTCAACTTCAAGATGACTCCAAGGCACTTACTGGGTTTTTAGATTATCTTATGACTTATAAGAATGCATCGATTTCTATGAATTGCATGAGTGACCTCAACTCGAGTTTTATACTAGAAGTAATAGCAAGACGCCTACCTACTCGACTGCAAAGGAAGTGGGTGAAGATGAGCTCCCGTATGGAGGATGAGGGTATCGAGCCAAAGTTTGATGATATCCTGAAACTGGTAAACGATAGTGTCAATCAATCTATGAGCAAGTTTGCCAGTATATTGAATCTCACCCCTAGAATAGAGCAGTCTGCGAGCAAAATGCAATCATTGATGACGAGTAGGCCTCAGAGAGGTGGATATCGAGAAGGCTCCATGATGTCTAGTAATGCATATAGACCTAGTGAGTGTAACAGGTTTCGTAGTACATCCTCAACAGATAAGTTACAAGATGCAAGACAAGCACGGTTGTGTTTTACACGTTTGCAAGAGGTGCATACAAAGGTGAGCTGTGAACCAGTGAGCAAGTTTAGCGGTAAGCTAAATGTGAAATCAAGGTCTGACTCCGAATTGTGTGACGATAACGGTTTGGTCAGGAAGTCTGTAGTTGCAACTGGTAAGCCATTGTTGAATAGTATGCCAGAGAAGAGAGTTACAGTTTCAGAGTCCAGTTCTGACCCTACAAGTTTACAAGGTATTACTAGTCAGAGTGAAGGTATAAATTCTTTAGGGATTTGTGAGGAAGAACCCAAATCATCTACTTCTGTTATTGAAGAGTTTGAAAATGATGAAGTCGACCAGATAGATGATGGTAAATTGAATATTTGTGATAATGATCATGATAGTGCAGATTTGTCTTTGGTTGATCATGATGAAATGAGGGGAATGCCTACTACTGCTAATTTGAATAAAGGTTCTGTACAACTACAACGTGAAGTAGAATTGAATGCAGATGTAGTTGCAGAAGGTACGGATACTTGTGAGACCGTCAGTGTAATTGATCAGCGTGTAGCCCACCTATCATCAGATGCTAGTGCTAAACCCGAACTAGTAATGAAAGACAGCAGTGGTGGTAATCTTGCAGTTAGATAAATTTCTCAAAGCCGAACAAGAACAGCTTCTGATCCACCGCTAAGTTCATCAACTGGTATCAATCAGTCGTCGTCGTTGGTGTTGTCATCCACAATGAAACAGACGCCCATCAACTCAAGTATCTTGTGCAATGACCATGATAGTATTGGTGCATATGAAGAGACGAAAGATATTGGTCAGTTTAGTGAGGATAAGCCAAGGGTAAACGAGAGAGTAATTGTTAAATTGACTTGCATGAATAAAGGCATTTCTAGTTTCAAGTTACTATTTGAATGCTATTATCTTTGGTGTAAATTACTCTGTTTCTACGCTTGGTTGACCAGATACGTCGTGTGTTTGTCCGTCATCTATATTCTACGATACAATGACATGAGCGTGTTGCCGTTCAGATTTGAGAATATAGCCGATAGAGGGAAGTCAGCAAATGAACTCTTCGACGATTTTCCAACCTAGGGCGTCAACCTGAGAAGGAATGTAGGCGTACTGCTGTAAGTCCTACAGTTCTTTAAGGGTAGTTCGTCAAGGCAGAATCCACAACATTTGACGTGTTGATTGTACATATGTTTGGGTTAAATAGTTGTGTGAGTTCCAATTATTGTAATTGTTGGTCAATCTTGTTTGTGTCCGGACATTCCACAACTTACAATCGTCAACCTGTGAAGGGTTGTAGGCGTACTGGTGTAAGTCCTGCGATTCTTCAAAGGAATTCCATCAAGACATGATCCGCGAGTTTGTGTGCACTGTTTGTGTATACGTGTGGTGTGTCATGTCAATTTGTGATATTGGGTTAATTGTGTTTACTCGTTGTTTTCGTACCTTGTTGTTATTGCATAATTTTGTTAAGATTTTCGTCGTAATTACTTCTGAAGTTGTTTCGAGTCTTCTACATTCGTGAATGAATTGATTGATGTTAGAGACAGCAGATGGGTCGTATACGCCGGGGAGGCTATTCCTGAGAATGATATGCATACGGAGATAATGATTAGCTGTGATCCCACACGCCGGGGAGTGGGAGTGTAGACAGCTGAGGCTTGCGTACGTCACCGTTACTAGAACTGAGGCAGAATGAGTGACAAGCGATTGCAGTGGTAATTGGTGGTGAGTAGATAAGAGGATGTGCGTGGAGTATCATGAGGTGGTGCTATGGTCACGTCACTTTCTGCAAGAGTCATTCTAGTAAGTGGCGATTGTGTTGGAAGATGTCAAGAGGATACCTTTAACTGGAAGGCGGAGGTCGTCATTGATGTGTGAGATTGTGCTGTGGGTATGCTTGTGGTGTGTTGGCTTTTCTGTTTGTTTTCCATTTCCGCTCTGTCCGTGTGACCCAGGTTCTCGCAATGGCATCCAAATCAACGTGTATTGGTAGTGATGGAATAAAGGGGTGGATCCCGTTTTCGCCGGGGAGTGTCAATGTAGTTGAAGACTGAACGATCAATTCATGGTTGTTTGCTCAAAACCAACTTCCCCAATTTTCGCGGAGGCACCAATCAGCCAGTCATCGTCTCATCGGTCGCTGTTCAGAAAGAAGTCAGTATAAAACCGTCAGAAGTAATATTGTGATTTATTATTGTAATATTTGTTCATAGACCTTAGTTTTAAAGTTGGCTATATGTTGGTGTTAGAATAAAGAATTCTCGAGTGGCCAATCGGTGTTTTGGTTTTTGCGTCCGTTATTACTAAGCGTTTCTGAGAAACTTCAAGGAACAGCGTGAGCCCGAGCGTAGCAAGAGCTGGTCACTAATGGCTTGCGTGACGTGTCTGACAATTTTTTAGAGGTTTTTGGAAGTAATTATCAACGCATTAGGAATTTATTCATGGACGGTTTTACGTTGCCAATATTTTGTAAGTAATCGAAAGGTAGGTTCCGTTGTCTGTCTAACACATTTTTCAGGGATGCCAAGAAAATTGATAAAATTTCCATTACAACTCAATGGATATTGATGTAGCCGCCAGTGAGTTTGGTTGCATGAAACCATAATATCCAGATTATAGCATCTATGATGACTTGGTGGCCCCAATTTCAAGGTATTAACCTAATTGAAACCCCTTCATTTTCAGCACTTCGGTTGCCCCCATATTCCAGTCTTCATCTCCTATTGACAAAAAGACGTGTGTGTGTGACCGATAGGAATAATTGTCACAATTTTTATTCATGCTTTAGATTGCCGTCTAACGAATATGCTACTGAATCCTCAATTAAGAAATTAATCGGTAATTACTTGAAATTAATTATTTATTTACTCTTATACCAATGGAAAAGTATCAATTTGTAATACAACTTCACGATTCTTCCTTATTACCCAATTTGGATATAAATCAAATCAAAAATGAGATTCGGATTTATACACACCCAGGTTATATTGAGGAATTATTTCAAGCTTTATTTTTTCCCAAGTATTTTTAATCCATCCAAAACTTACTTGGGTTTTTTTGTTAATGCGAAGACAATATTCCTATATTTCATGATGTGCTCCATTGAATGACTTGTTATATTGTGGAATAACTTCAAGCTTTATTTTTTCCCAAGTATTTTTAATCCATCCAAAACTTACTTGGGTTTTTTTTGTTAATGCGAAGTCAATATTCCTATATTTCATGATGTGCTCCATTGAATGACTGGTTATCATATTGTTCCCACAGACCTAAAAAATGGTATGCATTTTCATGTAAATTTATATGTTTATATGAGAATATACATTATTATAATTATTATTAAAACAAAAACGCCAGCAACCATGTAACTTAACCATAAACCGAATTTATGAAATTTAATTAATGCTTATCCATGCCTGTATATTTGGTGTGTCCTACACAAGTAGGAAAAAATGTGTACTTTATTAAAACATTATTATTAATTATGATTGCTAATCGTATATGTAATTTATCATATTGATGATGCCTGTAAACTGGCGTCTCTCATGTACAAAATGAGAATATACTATTATTATTATTATTATTATTATTTAAAGATACAAATATGGAAGTCATTAACCTGTGCACAAAAATATTGAACATTGTGACTACTGACAGAAAATCTCGACAGCAAACCTACCCTCCAGCAAGCGGGCACTTAACACTGCAGTTTCCGATCGAGAATGAAGACCAGTTAGAGATGCTGGAAGCATCTTTAAGAGACGAAAAGTACAAACAGCAATATGTGAGTAGACGTATTTAATTCTTATTTCTTGTAGACTGCTAAGATGGCTAGCTGCCTTCAGAATGATCCAAAGTTATCACTTAAGGTCATGGTGCACCATGTTATAAAACCTGAAGTGGGTTTGAAGTTTACATTTCAGGGGACTTTGACAAAGTCAAGCACTGTGCCTTATGCCTTTTATAAAATAATGAGAAGTAAGTTTCATTAATGAAGTGATTAGTTCTCTAGCTTTAATTATGTCGCACTTCTCCGGCCAACTAATGATGACAAGGGAGATTGGTGAAATGATGGATAGGGCCACGAAATCGTACTTTCATAATTTGAAAGATCATGTTCAAAGTCGTAAGCGGAAGCAAGGAATTCAGGTAATTTTGCGAAATGCCTGCTTACTTCTATAAGTGAACGTTTATTCAACATGTAGTAATCACAACATTGTTTTCATTTTTAGGCAAATGAAAAAGATACCGGGGGATATAACAGTGGTACTTATCCATGCCTGTACAATTGGTATGTTCCTGCATAAACAGGAAAAAATATATATTATTATTATAGTAAGTAAACTTCTATAAATGTAAATGCTCAGAATGTTCTGAGCACAATTTTTCACCCACTAATATTTTATTTCGCTTATTTGCAGGATGCTGCCAGTGGATCGCACTTGACAGGATTGCAGTGACATTGTACTACAGTTTATAAATACAAAAGTCTCAATTAAAAAAACTGATTTCTTCTGCAAACTAAATGAATTTCGCCGGCGTAGGACACAGGTGATGATAATAAGTAGAAGTCTTTTCGTTTTGAAGTAGTGCTAGTCAGTGCTGAAAATAATCTGCGAAGGCTTGAATTAGGCTGAAAAAATTGACACTATGTGCTGAATTAAGTCTTTTCGTTCTAAAGTAGTGCTAGTCAGTGCTGAAAATGTTCTGAAAGGGCTGAAATAAAGCTGATAAGCAAACCCGGTGGGTTCTGATCTACTCCTAACTATGCTTAAAAGAAGAACACGGTTCTAAATTAGCGCTAGTTATGCTGAAAACCAGCACTGAGTTCTAGTCTGTGCCATTAAACAAACGATTTCAGAACAAATTCAGAATTTACTCACTATAGGATACTAGAATTATTTCAGAATTACTGAGATTTAATTCAGAAATATAACAAGCTTGGGATATGAGACCGACTTTGAACTTGTCAGCAGATTTATTAATGTAGGTGGTTCCGTTATTTACCAGGTGAGCTAGCAATATCCCAAATAAGTACAGGATAGCAGCGCTGTATCAGTGCGTTCGTTGAAGGCAGTACCTTTGAAAAGGGAGGAAGAAAAAAGAAAACCGCCAGAGGGGCGCAGAAGTGTATAATAGGTGCTATTAATTCAACATATAACTGTCAATGCAGTTGGAGATTGAACGATCAATTCATGGTTGTTTTCTCAAACCCAACTTCCTTATATTTTCGCGGAGGCATCAATACGCCAGTCATCGTCTCATCGATCGATGTTCAGAAAGAAGTCAGGAGACAACCGTCAGAAGTAATGTTGTGATTTGTTATTGTAATATTTGTTCATAGACCTTAGTTATTATGCTGCTCATATTTTGGTGTTAGAATAAAGAATTCTCGAGTGACCAATCGGTGTTTTGGTTTTTGCGTCCGTTATTACTAAGCGTTTCTGAAAGGCTTCGAGGGACAGCGAGAGGCCCGGCATAGCAAGAGCTGGGCATTAACGGTTTTTGAGTTGTGATTTACAATAACAGACGTGGGGTTCATCATTTTTTATTGTTTTTTTTAAGAAATATTATTTCCCTGATAGGTTTTAGTAATAAAATAATAATTTTCGTGAACAATTAGTTTAAGTGAGAAACGGGTGATAATTTTACCTACTTATGTAGGTTGAAAATCAGTTAAACACAAAATTCAAAATGCGTGAACTATGTAAAAGAAAAGCGGCGGCTTAATTATATCTACTGTTTTTCTGAAGTATACAGTTAGGTGTCCTTCTGAAGTAGTGGACTCATGCCATGAACTTGCATTTAAAGGAGGGAGGGTTGCGTTGGCTGATCAGTAGATATGGTGGGGGTCACTAAGGTGAATCGCCCCATTCTGCAGGAACAGCAATATACAATTTGAAGGCTCGAGATATTTATGATTTTTAAGAGGGCTTAGATCTTTATTTAGAAAAAGATAATAATGAACGCCTAAACAGATCATGCTTCTA